TTGTGTTCTGGAAACGTCTACGAAGTGTTAATATAATACGTGTGCGTTAGTAAGGAACATATCTAAGGATCGCTCCTCTACGTCTTGAGGGATTTGAAAAGTTATTAAGTATTCCCAATCCGGACGTTTTATGTGAAGAAGATCCTGAAGTGTAATGATTTTTTATGACAGTGATGAAGATAATGTAGACCTTATAGATAAAGCTGACGATATTATTTGTGCTGAAGACGAGAAAACGTGAATTATGACGCGTATATGAGATCAGAAACTGTTGAATAGTATCTTGTAAAAGACACAATACGACTAGTACAATGTGTACTTTAGGGGCATTATTTGGCATTCGAGCAGTGGCGATGACGTCATAGATTCATGCAGTTGCGTATACTGAACATCTTACCATACACTTTTTTGTAAATCAGCTCCATTCTTCGAGCTTATCATTTAGCAAACTCATTGATAGCTTGTTTTCTAAAGCTATCGACTCTGGTAAGTTAACTTAGCAGACACTTTTCTGTAGCTGGTGTACTCAAATTACTGAGCCTGATATTTCCTAGGGAATTTATTAGGAATGTCTTCACTCTCTTTAATGTAATCATATTCCTTTCACATAATTCAGTAGATAAAGGCAGGGAACATTGAACTGAATTTTTTCAACTGAATAGTTCTTGATTTTTTTCTAGACTGTTGTCCAAGAAATACTTCATCAATAAATCTGCAGGCATGTATGTTGCCTTATGAATTAATACATTTGTCGGTTCCGTTCGAAGATGCTCACTTGCCAAGAATGTATATTGTTTTACTAAGAGAGATAACTTTTCTGAAGGCAAGGACGTTTTGGGTTTATTCGTCAAGAAATTATATAAAATGAAAGTTTTCAAAATCTTTAAACCGATATTCCATCTGAGACACTTCTGAGTAAAAAGTTTTAAAATAACAATTTTTTTTGTCTTTCAAATAATTCTGACCCTGAAAGTTCATTCATGGTCATGTCTGTTTTGCAGTTTTCAATAGTCTCTTCGTATATAACACGGCATAGTGCTAGTATATCTAATATTTATAAATCAAAGAGCTGGTTTCACCAACCAAAGAGTAAGAGTTTACTCTGGAGTAAATAATGTTTACTCGAGAGTAACTTCTTGAAGCGTTTCACCAACACTACTCGAGTGTAAATCGCTTACACGAGAGTAAATTCAAGAGTAACTTTACACTGTGAAAATCCGTCGGGTAAAGAACGGAGTAAGCTCAGTTTGTAATGTGCATGTACCTCCGAAGTATTGGTATGGCTCGACGATTACGAATCGGTATTTGAAGACGATTCCAGCAATGATTCAGAATATTATCCACTTGTGCGAAGGCAAAGGGAGAGAATGGTTTGGTTTTAATTATGGCGATCGAGATTTTGTCACGAGATTATGTTTGACCAAATCAGGTGTTAACTTCAGCAGATACATTATAAACTGTAGAGAACTTGTAAATATATGTTTCGCTCATGTGGATACAAAATAAAGGTAGTACGTACCGTATACGATAATAAAAGGAAAAATAATAACTAGATGGACTACAAATACTAAGAAATATTTATTTATTTAGTAAAAAACTGTATATGACGTATGGGGGAGATCATTTGCGCACGTTTTCTTGAGTTCCAGGATTTCTTTCCAACATTTTAACTACAAATAGTTGAAAGGTGAATACAACTTTAAAACATAAAACTTAAATAAACAATAATGATGATGATGATAATAATAATAATAATAATAATAATAATAATACAATTTAGAAAAATGTGAGATCAGCAACATTTGACTAACTAAACATTTTCGTTCCCGAGTTATAGAAACGCCATCGGTAAACTAACTACAAATTTGATTTTTTTGCATTGCTAACAAAATAGTAACTCATCTCCAGAGAAGAAAAATGAATATTTATTAGGAAATAAAGATACAAAAACTAAGAAATAAACTATGACAACTCAAATCACGATAACACCGCACAAGATAATAGCGCCAAGAACTCCGAAACTGAAATGAACGATAGAATATATGGAAGTAATCAAAGGTTCGAGTTGGTCCGCAGTGGTTCCCAGCGTCACTCTCGCTTACAGCCTCTTGAATCGCTCTCAAATATTGCGCGTTCAGCTGATTCGCGGAGTAAATCGGAGAGTATGTACTCTAGAGTAAAATAACCCCGCAGAAGAATGGTGTAACGCTTATATTCTACTCGAGAGTTACTATCTTAGAGTAAATGCTTACTTTCGATATACTACTCTCAACTTTATTCGGCTGTTGGTGAAAGCCGGTCCTAAGGCATATTAATTGCCTCATGATTCCTCATTCCTGAATGAAAACTGCATGTCAAAATCGTGAACCGTTTAGAATTTATGGGAGTGGCCTAGAGTTGGTGGGTCATTCTCTGTAACACTAAATATGCAGCTTTATTAATTGTTTTATAAAGAAAACCGAATAACAAAAATCACATAAACAACCCACACAACTTTAGGGCGATGGGGCGAGTTGGGCTTAGGGCCGGGGCGTGGACGGAGTGCGCGGTAGAAGTCTGCGCACGCTGGGAGTCTGGCTGGGAGCCTACGCCCTTTTCTACCTAGTATTACTCGCGTAACTTTTCTTGAACGGTGAATTGAAGAAATGCTGGTAGAGTGGGGTATTAGTTACGACATCAGCCACTATATTTTATGAAGCAATGCCAATCTCTGGTAAATCAGTCATGCCTTCGCAACGTTCTCAATAATTTGCGTTCTAACTTTCTCAGGAGTTCGAAGTATCTCTCGCGATAGATCTTTACCTAGTTCCGTAATTTCTTTATATTTTTTGGAGAAATTAACGGACAGAAGTTCTCGTCTTCAAAACAAAATCGTTTCTATTTCGCCCAGAGAAGATGTGTTTGGAATGTTGTCATCAGCGCTCGCTGCGAGCTTTTGCCTTCAACTGTTGTGCCAGGGAGGGGGAAGCAAGGTCATCGTACAAGAAAAGTTGCGCGAGTAATAGTGCGACAGACGAAGATGGCGCGCGCTCTTACGCGCATGCGCCAGCGAGCCAGCCGGTGTCAGTTCACAAGCAGCTACCCTCTCAGCAAGCGGTTGAGGGGGGGGGGGGCGAAAGGAGTCGAATGCATTCAATTTTCTTTGACGATTCAGTAAAGAAATGGAAAACATGACCACATGACAGGTTTTGTTGGAAATTAATAATTCGGGTATTATAAGGCTCCCAGAATACCGTTTAGCTTCGCCCCTGCTTTGGAGACCTCTTCGTCGAGGACGAAGACCTGCGTGGGAAATATATAGTTAAAATAGATAAATATTTTATTAATATACAATTGTAGTCAAGTGTATTTTACATAGTTTTAATGGCATGTCGTTCTCATCAATGAGCACAGGTCTACTGAAATCTCCCAACGTAATAGCGTCGTTCTCTACTACTACACTTACTACTAACATGTATAGCGACTGCGCATTATGCGCGGTGGGCCTCCGAGTGCCACCCTCTGCTCCCCCAGCCAGCTCCCAACACCAGGTGAGTGCGTGCGCTGCTTCCGGTTTTATTAAGAGATGGCGCCAGCGAACAGGAAACAGCGTATGAATTTGACACTACGTGAGTTTGTTCGTCTGATAATAACCTACCAACACACTAAGTTGAGTCCGCCAGACACTAATGTCTGTGTTATCTATGTATACTGTCTCTAATATCGATCAGTAATCATTGCTTTTCTTAGCTTAATAAAAAAGCTAATGTAAAGCATCGTTTGCGTATAATAAATAGAACATGTATGAAAACACGTTCCATCGATTAGCACACATGAGACATAGTTTCGACAATCACTGATGATTTCAAGTGAAGACCACAAAAGTGCAATGTCGAGTAATTGCAGGCATTATTGGTGATGACCGAATAACAAATTATTAATTTAAATCACGCATTGGTCGAAGGACGACCGGAATGGGCAAGAAGTCGTGGACAAGTGAATTTGTTTACCGACAAGCGCCGCCTCACATAGCAAAACAAGCGAAAGGCGCCTTGGAATCGCTTGGATGGGACATCGCCCGGACCTGGCGCCAACCTGACCGTCTCCTCTTCGCCATCGACTGGCCACGCGCTCCAGAGCAGCACTTCAGCGATTCCGAGGAAGTTGCAAAATGGTTTGCCGCAGAAGGCAAGCCCTTTTTTGGCATGGAATTGATAACTTACCTGAAAGATGAGCGAAGATTATAGAAATCAATGGTCAATATTTTGAATAAAAATGAATTTCTCTTGAAAATTACGTGTTTTAATTAGCACTAAAACCGGCAAAAACTAATGCGTAAATAACTACAGTAGGCAGGAAGAGTAGATAGTTTCCGTAACCTGTCCTCCTACGCTTAAAACGCGTATTAACATTAACAAATTATGTAATTTCGTCAACATCGTAATGGAATAGAGATGGTGTTGTTTTGAAAGAATAATGGAGAGTGAAGTTCTGCATTGAACGATATTTTTTTTCTGAAATTACAAAACTTGATTACCTTACAATATCGCAAGTATTTTTGTTCTATTTTCTCTTCTATTTTTAATGTTTAGGAGGTACCTGGGCGATTATTTCTGAGCAAGCAGTACCTTAGACAGAAAAAGTCAAAAATCATAATTAAAAATTGGACTATTTCATGTATGGGCATGAATGTTTTTAGTTTCGTGAGATTCGCTATGAATTAAAATACAATCACAAACTTACGCGTTCTTTGAAGGTCTAGGAAAATGCCTGAATGTAGAATTCAATCGGTTGCGTTTGTTTTGCAACGTATTTCTCGTCTCTTGAAATGATTCCTACTGCACTTCACGTTCCTTCCTGATCAAAGCTTTCGGTAAACGGCGCCCTTCAAACAACGCTCGAGATGTTCGCCCACAGGAAGACACTCGCGAATATTCAATTCCGCACAAAGAGTTGGTCCCTTTCCCCTTCCACGCCCTCTGAGCTCGGGGACGGAAGCTCTGTGAACCTCATTTGCGGTAATGGATGCATCCGCCCACACTACCCTTTGTCAGCACCCTTTGCTCGCGCCGGTGGTTCGTCGCGTGGCCGCTAGATGTCGGGGCGGCGCGCGAGGTCGCAGCGAGCGCGGCGGTGGCGGCCGCCGGCCAGTCGGAGCGCGCGCGTTGGTAAATGCGGATCTGGGAAGCGGGCGGCGGCGGCGGAAGCGCGGGAACCGGCCAGTGCACGGGCCGACGGACGCGGTGCGGTGCGTGGCGCGGCGCGGGCAATGGCGGAATTGTCACCGCTCCACAGTTGATCCCTCGACAGCCACCGGCGAGTCAACGCCACCTGCCGGCCGGAGAGGCGACGTCGCCGGTCCCAGGGCGTGTGTTTTCGTGCGCGTAGCCGGGCATGGCCGGCTGCTAGTGTCCACGGGCTATTTCGGTGTGAGGCGGGCGCGCGGCGGTGTTGCCGCGTAGTGCGAAGAGGAGGCTGCGAGGCGGGAGTACGCGTTGGAAGCGGCAGCCACCATCTCCACCGTCAACATCACCTTCGTCGACGGGCTGTACGCGGGCCTGCCCTCCGCCGCCGGGATGCCGTCCAAGAAGCAGTACAACCTGGTGCAGAACGATGACTACGACACGCGCATCCCGCTGCACCCCGAGGAGGCCTTCCACCACGGGATCAGCTTCCAGGCGAAGGTGAGGCCCGCGCGCCGCGCGACACGTGCCGGGCGCCTCACCACCTGCCCCCACGACGCCCAATCCCAGAAATAGGCGTTCCCCGTCACATTTCGGGTTTAGTCGATGATAAACAAAGCTTAATTCAAGTTTTTCAACCATACATTAGGATACAATATTGAAAAAAAAAAACAACTAAAATTTCTCGTTGAATAGAACGTTCAATGAAGAATCAAATTTCAGGGAATATGGTTATCAATATACGTCACAAATTAACGTACAAAAAGGCAAAACGAAAGTTTTTCGTGTCACAGCGTTGCAACAGGGATGGGGTGTTTTCGAAACCGGGTTAATGAGACATAGACAATCCAAGAAAAAATGTGTTTCCCGTAACATTTGTAGTTTGGTCAATGATAAACATGTTTAATTCAATGTTTTGAAGCATGCATTCTGTTTATTTAACCCTTAACTGGGACTAGTAGGATCCGTGTAGACCATAGGCAGTCATGAACTCCAGTTAGTAACTAAAATTCCCGATAGTTTGCGCTGTGGTTAGTTGTATTCCTCGTTCAAGACCCTCAGCAGATGATCGTGTGTGCTTTTTGTCTAAAATAACAACGTAATTATATTTTATTGTTCATTATTATCTGTATGCATCCCATCAGACGAGTGTCAGTAAATTCAATATTATATTTTAAGTTTTTTGACTTGTCTGAGAAAGTGAGATTGTCTTGACGTTTGAAAAGTGTATTTTTATATCATTGTTGCAACATTATCATAAGTGCTACCAAGAAGAACATCTTCCTTAAAAGAGTATTCCGGATCTCTAGTAGATATCTTTAGGCAATGAAAGTATTCCCTAAAATTCGAACGTCGAGTTTCTCGTCGAGTCGCCGATACGCGGTATGTGCAATTAGCGAAGGGAGAGGACGTGTGAGACGCTGTATTTCCCGAACAGAAGGTTTGCACGTTAGTACTTTATTACAGTGCACTAATAAAAATAAGTTTTTATTCATACGTGAAAAATGCCAAAGTTTTTCTTAGGACATTTGATACAGTACTAAAAAAAGCGTGAAACCGTCCTTATGGGGGTTTTATCAGCAATTAGAAACTTATGTTAGTAAGAAATTAACTCATGATACCATTGCTGAAGAATATTCAAAAGTCTAGTAGTAATATATTCTCTTAGTTTGGCTTTGTGGTTCTCCAATGGAGTTTCTAAGTCAATTTGCAACAATTCTTGTAATGAAAATCAAAAGGATTAATTTTACGAAAGTTTAGGCTTTACGGACTATTCACTGTTAACAACTGATTTCATGAGGTACAGTGCAGTGCTGTGCTAGAATACTCATTGGACGTCCTAACCTAACCTCTTCCAAATTTCCAAAATAATTACTAGTTCAGGAACTAAGAAGAGTTATGTTAACCCTTCGTGAGACCATTGTAATATTTTGGGAACTATTTGTTTTTCCTGCGAATTCTTGGGAGTTAATAGAAAATTATTTCCCGTATTAAGAATCTGTATTCCGGAAATGGGAATTCTATCGAGTACTCCGCTCTTAAGAAGTGATGTTCAAAATTGTTGACATCTGTTGATATAACGCAAGATTGTTGTTTGCTCCAGTGCTGAATTATAATTCCCGTTTACCTTAAAGGATAAAATGCGTGTGACCACTGCCAGCGCCATGCACGGGCCGAGGGGTCCCATGACGGGACTGCAACGGGCGCCGGCGACCGCGATTGCTTGCTTCAGTGTGAAGCTTGAGGGCGCTTCAGATTCGAAGGCGTGCTGTTGTTGGTAGAATAGCGGCGGGAAGCGCGCGACTGCCACAGGCGCACCCTCTGGCGGCGTCCGCGGCTCCGCTGTTTCATTAGCGATCCGTTTCATTGGCCGCTTGCGCCGTGCCGCTATCGAAAGGCCCTCATACGGCGAGTAGAAGGGTCTTCTCTTGAGAGTGGGACGGTCAGCGCACATACGAGGCGAACTCCCATAAGAAGAAAAGTTTGCGGTGAACACGTTTCATTAAAAAAATATCATAATTGTAGGAAGACGCCAAAAAAGGTGGACATTTTGCGATTTCCAAGAAATCAGGAATTCAACGAACGTGCGCCATTCTCTTAAGAGTTCTTTTTACGCTATCCAAAGTCAAAATTTAATCATAAAATTGGGTGCCTCTTTAGAAAAAACGCTTAAAGATAAGTAAAACTTCACTGTGTTTCACGAAAAGTAAGCGAAATTACTCAAATTTTCGAAAAATTATGCTTGATCTTATTTCAAAATCGCTCTTTAAACAACACATTTCGTTAAGGAATGGATCTCTATCTTCAATATTTTAGTTGTAGGAAGACGCCGAAAAAAATTGAACTTCAGCAATATTGCATAATTCAGAGATTTTAATGAAAATTAGACTTGCAACATTCTATTACATGGCCTTGACACTAACACAAAATTTAATCAAACATTTGGTGCCATTTTTTTGAAAGTTTTGAAAAGTCCGAGGGGCTTCATGTAAAGAACCACAAAATTAAAATATTGGTTTCAAATTCAAGATTCCGCAATATCAGCCAGATCGACTGGAGAATATCAATTTTAGAAGAAATCACCTGAACGGTTCACCCGCTAGCGTGGTTCAGACGGACAGACGTTTTGCTGAAAATAGATTTTTCGGTATCAAGGACCACAAAACAAATTCTGACTAAACAGTGTGTTAGAGAAAGTAAATGATTATATACAGGAGCAATATTTATCCACTTTTTCGTTACCAGTGCCCGGCCATTCATTTTTATGTTGAAATTTCGCAGTTTTTTCCTCGCAGGATTACATAACTTTTTCTACGTTGAGTAAGCGGTAGCGAGCAACTAGTGAGAAGGGATGGCATATGACAGGACTGTGATCTGTGAGCCACTGCTGCAGTATCTCAACAGTGGCATTCAAGAGGAGATAACACGAAGCAAACGCGTTCGCGAGAAGAGCGCTGCTCCGCCGCAGCGACTGCGTTGGGTGTGCGTAAACCCCGAGGTTTATTCGCGCCCGAAAGTTTGTTTCCGCGCCGCCTCCTCGCGGACCGTTTCCACGATCAAAGTTTGCGAGCGGCACCTTACCCTGCAGTGTAAGCAGGCCCCGCCTCGTGGATAGTTTTACTCCGCTGTTGCGCTCTCGCTCGAGTGAGCTTTAAATGTTGCATTCATGAAGAGATTTGTTTACGAGTGTAGTTGCAGTTCAGGGATTCGTTAAATGATGAAGAGATTCGCATTTTCGCGGTTTACAAGTGTAGTTGCAGCTAGGGTTGCCAACAATGTTCGTGTGAAAGGAGGATACACGATAACACATGACACGCACACACAAATAACCACATTTTTTAAATAAATATTTAATTTAGGAGAGCGATTCCCAACTGCATTCCCCTCCGCGATCTTCGATGAGAGAAGCAGCGCGCGCAAAGGGGGAGGGAGAGGGGGTAGACGAAACGTTGGCAGTCCTTGCCGGTGTTACAGGCAACATGAGAGACCATCTACGCCAGTTAATTTTTTTTTATTTGATTTGGGAAGAAATGTTCCTTTTTGTAGATACCGTAAAATGGGGAAGTGTTTAATGTGATCAAAAGAACTGCAGTGTGTGAAAATGTTCAACCGACATTACGCAGATTTGCAACCCAGAGAAACCCGCGAGATGAAAATAATTTCTGAGAATTTACAGTTAGCCAGCAATCATGAGATGAGGAAAGGATTTTGCAGATAGAAGGTTATGGAAAAGGTACTGAAAATTATGAGGGTTTACAATATTCTCAAACAAATCTGTACATGAAACAATAAGACCTAGAGTCCAAATTCTCCCACGCGACTCCTCCCGGGTATCTATTTGTTAACATTAATTACACAGGCGCACAAAATTTAAAAAAATGTCAGACGCAAAGACTTGACACATGTCTCTTATGTATATCATCGCGCTGAATCCGAAGCCAGAATTGCGCTACCGCCCTCCAGTTATTGTTGTTTTAAATCGCAAAAAACCATCGTGTAATTGTAAATTTCGGTGTCTTTTTAATTTTAAAAAGACCGGAATTTGGTGGCGCAATTCTGTATACGGATTCCAATCCAGCGCGTCAGAAGAAATGTGTATCAAGTCTTGAGTCTGACACCTTTTGACTTCTGAATATTATAATGCTACAAGATATCAGTGTATACACCGATCTCTTATTCGTACGTGTTTTTTCCCCTGGATAAACATGTGTCAAGCCTTTGAGTCTCACAATAAATATAATTTCACGGTGTTTTTTCGCGATTTTAAAAAGTCTGAAGGGAGGTGGTACAGATTCGGATTCAGCGCATTGTGATACGTAGAGAAACAGAATCAAGTCTTCGGGTCTGACGAGTATTTAGTTTTATGTGCCTGAGGTTTAGGTTCATGACGAACTAAAATTACGTCACATTGTATAAAGTATTGTATTAGTATGTTAAACAATAATGTTATGTGTTAGAAGAATGGAAGAGGAATTACAGGGCGGGTTACAATAGAGCTTTGTATTATGAAATAATAAACGTTCAATGTTTGTTTTGTTTTTTCATATTTTTATTCAATCCTAAACATTTAAATAATGAAACCATTTAAAAACATAATTAACGAGCGCACCTTTCCCCCCACTTCCGTACCATCATTGGAACGCTGTGCGCCCGCCTCCGCGTCGGGCACTGCCTTTGCTCCGCCTCTCGGTTCGGAGCAGGGGAGCACATTTTTGTGACGTCACAGAGCACTGAGTTGGCAAGCAATGATTTAGGCTTACATCAGATCTATTTCTTTCTTCTCTCCATTTGCGATTCGAGGGAAAATCCATTCCATTTGCGATTCGTTCACAAACTGCAGATGAAGATGGTCCGAGTGTCACTTTTTTATTTTAGTCACTAGACAGAGACACTATCATGCACGCCTGTGTCAGCGTTTAGAAAACAGTTATTCATGTTTCCTATTCTAAATTAAACAATAAACGATACAATGTAGCAGATGTTAATCATGTGATACGAGT